GGAATCGGCATCGTTATTGCAACGCTCGCGTGCCCGTCTATGATTCTCCATGAGTTGGGTCATCTGCTCCATAACCGGTACGCTCATGTCAAGGTTATGTCCTTTGGCTGACTTGCGTATGGCCTGGTCGACTGTCACCTGAGTCTCGTGGGAACATATTTATTCTATCTGCAACATGGGTGTCCACATCTTTAACTTTTCCGTGTTATCGCGAACATAGTCCTGTGTGGACTTTACTGCCTTAAAATGCGTCAATACTCTGTAGAACCATATTAGACTCCAGCTCTCGTCGATACCTGCTATCTGTGCATTCTTCTATGCTTCGAGGAGAGCTCCTCTCGTATCCTGTTCCATAAAATCGCTGAGATGGTATCTGTTCGATGGATATTCAGGCCATTGCTTCCGCATTGGCACTCTGCGCTTCTCTGTTGCCTTGGCTTCATATGCTCCACGTAGCGAGTTTAGTATACCCTGTAAGGCTTCTGCACGTAGCGTATCTATATCATCAAGGGCTTTGCACATCTGTTCACTCACTTGGAGGGCGCCTGCGTGAAGCTTGCGACGATTGTTCTCAATCTCCTTTAGCGTAGGTGGAGGCGCGACCACTTCCTTATCCTTCTTGGGTGGTTTGGGCGTTGGAGTAGGTAAATTATTACCGAATGTATTGTCATCGCTGGATGAAACATTGTTGTTGGACGAATCAGGGTCATGGCCTGGGCGCTGCTGCTGCTTGCATGAATATACTTACCCTTCTGGACTTCATTACCCGACGTTTCGTGTATAGATTCCTTACGACGCTGTTGTTTGCGTACCTTGGTATGCAATCGGTCGTGCATGTTCTCCAGCGCTTCCTTTCAATGCGGATTTTCCTTGGTGCGTGATTGCTGGCAGACGACATCTAGGAGGGATCCGGTCTCACTTGTAGGTATTTGATTATCTGAGTCTGGAAACTCATACCCTAGTCCGTGGTGCTTACGCTTAGGACCTGGGATACGGAATTCTGGATTATCGTCGGCTTCATCTGATGAACCCTTACCCTGCTTGGTGATACGGCGACGTGTACGTTTGCGGTTAGGTGGGCGTCGAAGTACCTCGCTACGTGTTGAGACATTATCCTCGTTGTTAGGTGGAAGTAGTATTGGACCTGATGATCGCGGTGGGTTGTTGCTCACAGTTACTTTAGCCGGTACAGGTGACTGCCGTAGTGGTTGGTCACTATCGGTGTCAGCTGCGACGGCAGCGGCGACCGCTGGACCGAGAATGTGGGCGAGGACCCCCGAAGACGGACCTGAAGACGAGCTAGCACCCCCTACATTGTTACAAAGGGTACTAACTTGCTCCCGGATCGCATGTATATCAGTGGTTGTTATCCGCTTATTGTCTGTAGAGACACATTCTCCTTCATGCCTGGAGGTTGCAGCACTTATGGAACCCGGTGCTGCATTCTCCTCCTGATATTCGTTGGTTGTGACATCAGGTAACTGTCCTCTGTGGGCGAGGTAGGTACGATGCAAAAGGTCCAAGTTTGCTGCATGCATCTCAGCATTTCCTTCTTCATTAGGGTTGGCTGCTGAGTTGGAACGTCGATGTTCGGTGCCACGTCGGTCGATATCGTCCTCTACATCACGTTCTGAACTGAGTTGTTGTATTCGTCGGCTATGGCGAGCGTTGGGCATTGTTGAGGAGGTATAGACACCACTTAGATTGTCGTGGAAATGTATGGGCCTTAAGATGAAAGTGCACGTAGTATTTGTAGTAATACAGACACAGGTCCAGTAATTAAATACCCAATAGCTGCCTCAAGCTCTATCCCCATACACCCGAGTCACCGACGAGTGATTCCCTTGACCTGGGCTCAGGCACCTCTACTCGCACCATGACATGATGTACTCGTGTATGCACGTACATTGTACCCGCACCCTTTGTCGCATGTGCTCACTCCTTCTGGTTTGTGAACCAACTTTGAATACTCTACAGTGTTACTCTCCGCTCCTCGCTTCCCGATATGAGAGTAACTGCTATCGTCAATCAGCCTACGAGTACTCCCATTCCTGTACGGTGGAGCTTCGGAGCTTGTGACCTAGAGCTAAGTCACAATTTTGGTCTTGTTGTGACTCTGTAACGACCCAGTGGTTGCTTTAGGTTCTGTATATTGATACTGTGACTTGCTGCCTATCTCCCTACTGCGATGTCCTCAAACCACACTACTCGTACTTATCCATTTCACTCCAAATGCTCGTTGTGCAAAACATGTATTTTGTGCTACACGTTGGACGATCAATATTTCTATAACTCAGAATTCACATAACGATCACCACCAATTACAGTATGTTACTGGTATTATCATTCTGTACAATACACTTATCGATAACAGTAGACCCAATGCGTTTCTTATGCATATGCACTAAACTCGTACACACACACATATATATATATATATATATATATATATA